CAGGTCCAAGACATATCACAATCCTCTTCCGAACAACCTCTTAGCTTGTTAGCACACTGAGATATCTTAACATATTTTTAGTGTTCAAAGTAATAAATTGAAATCTTGGATAGTTGATTTCGGAGGCCTCATATCATATGACGCGAGATATTAATATCATAAAAAATTACAACCAATGTACAAGTCACTCTGCAGTTTGAATAGCTGATAGTTCATTCTCACCAATAGCAAAGATTGGATCAGTCGGATTAACAAAGGAACTTCATCTCTACTATATTCTTTATATTCCAAAATTAAATTGCAACATACACTCAATCAACAAACTTACTCATGATCTAAAATGTGTGGTTGAATTTTATTTAAATTATTGTGATTTTTAGGTGATGGACTCGGGAATGTGATTGACTGTGTTTAGATGCATGGTGATCTATACTTGCTCAACGAAAATAACTTCATCAGTAGACAAGGTCATCCATTAAGGTGTGCTAAGTTAGTTCAAATTCTGCCAATGTTGTCTCAATTGAAAGTTTAAGTCATGCTAAGTCATTGTCGTCTGTGTACATGAAAAAAATATTTCTGCAGTTATTACTCAATAAAAAACTCAAATTTTTATCAATGTAAAGCTTGTCAACTTGCAAAACATACTAAAAATGTATACTCTAAACTATAATACAACCATTCATAATCTTTTCCTTTAATCCTCAGTGATATATGAGAACCCTTAAAAATAAACAACATAAATGGGACACAATAGTTTGTGAAAATAAAAAAGTCTCATGAATTTAGATTCTGAAATGCCCATATATGATGATATATTGTATATATCATAATATTAGTGATGAAATTCACTGAGTAGTGAAAATTCTTAGGACTTTCTTATCGATATGCAATTTTTTTTTTAATTGATATATACATAGGGAAAGTCGTGTGCAATGAAAACTGCAAGCACGCTTTGGGGAGGGATCTTTTTATTCTATAGCAACAAGGAAAAATTATCTACTCCATCTGATTAGTTCCGGGTTCGATAAGAACTAGAAAAATACAGCTCTTTTGTATACTTAAAGTCATTCTTGTTAACTTTTTCCTTTTTATAGTTTCTGCAATTAGAATTAGATTGATTATACCTATTTGCACAAATACCTCGGGGATTCCCGATCGTTAATACATAGAGTCCTATAAGCATATCTTGAGTTGGTACGGAAACGGGATCCCCAATAGCTGGAGACAAGAGATTCATATGAGAAAACATAAGTAAACGAGCTTCTGCTTGAGCTTCCAAAGATAAAGGTACGTGAACAGCCATTTGATCCCCATCAAAGTCTGCGTTGAAGCCCTTACAAACTAAGGGATGTAAACAAATAGCACGCCCCTCCACTAAAATGGGTTGGAACGCCTGTATACCTAATCTATGCAGGGTGGGCGCTCTATTCAACAATACAGGATGCCCCTGCATCCCTTCTTGAAGGATTTCCCATACAATGGGTTCTTTTTCCCGAATTTTACTTTTAGCAATCCCTGTGTTAGAAGCAACATCTTGTCTTATTAGACCACGAATTACAAATGCTTGGAAGAGCTCTATTGCTATTTCTCGAGGTAATCCACATTGATGTAATGAAAGCAAAGGACCTACGACAATGACAGAACGCCCCGAATAATCGACCCGTTTACCAAGCAGAGTCTCACGAAATCTTCCTTCTTTGCCTTCAATTACATCGGAAAATGACTTGTAAACTTTATTATGACCATCTCTCATGGGTTGTCCGCGGATCCCATTATCAAAAAGTGTATCCACGGCCTCTTGTACCAATTTCTCCTGACACATTACATATTCCCCTGGTGTAGATCTACTTGTTGCTAATAGATCGGTAAGAGTATTGTTCCGACAGATAAATGTAACTCTCAAATAATAAAATTGGCAGCATCAAACACCTAAACAACATCGTCTCTAAAACTCAGCTACACATCAGGATAGTTTGGGAAGTTACTGAGATTCCTCCTCAGGATCTGTGACATCTCCTACATTTTCCTTTCTTTAGACTCCTGAAATAAATTGTTCCTATTTGAGTTACTCCCACTTGTTTTTCCACGTCCTACCGTGAAAACCTAAACTTTGAAATTTTGAAGACTAGTACCTCTGATCATTATAGAGAGTTTTCTCGAGTGACCCCCGTCATTTGGGATGTAATTAACTATAGGAGTTTGCCTCTATAGGGAACTTGGAACCCAAGTAAAATAAACTCAATTTAATTTTTATAGGGGTTTGCCTCTATAGGGAACTTAGAACCCAAATAAAATAAACTCAATTTAATTTTAAATTTTTATATTAAATAGGAAAACTTGTCGGGCACACATAAAAAAATTCGCAGACCAAACGGATGTCACAAATCCCTTAGTTTGTGTGATTGGGTCTATTGTCGAGGAACACACTTACCTTTCGGGAAGGTGTAGTATTCGTGATATCGGACACAATTATATAGACTATTGGACGAATGAGATATATTTGGTCTCATTTTCCAAAATTAAAAACATTACTTTCAAAACTAAAACTATATACCCCTTATATTAAATTAAATTTCCAAAATTATATTTTATTTTCAATTTTGAAAAAAGTTGATTGACAATGTTATGTAGTGTAATGGATGGTGAATGAAAGGAATAAAATTATTTTCCACATTCTATAGTTAACATGAAATTTTATTCACAAAGATTGGAATTACAAAACATATTGCGTGGAACTCAAAAATAGATAATATGGAGTCCTTATGGTAAATGTGATATGATACATCACAAGAAAATCCTTTCTTATTTATTCTAATATTTTTGATAGCCTTACAATTTTATTTTAGTTTTATTTTAGTGAATTATGTAGAGTTTTTTTTTTTTTATTGCAAATTAGATGATAAGATTTTTACCAAGTTATCTTCCTGCACTCTCACCACTCCCCACTCTTATCTCTCAAGGATTCTTTCTCCCAACCAACCAGCCCTTTAATCCTTTGATATCTACATCTCCTAGAACCCGACCACCCAAAAAAAAAAAAAAACAAAACAAAACAAAACTTCATTACCCAGCCTGCAGTTATACCTCTGCGGCCTTGTTAGAGGTAAGGCCTAGCATCCAAGCCCTAGTATCTTGTTTCCCCACTCTCATAGTCATTTCTTCAAAATGGATGTTGCAACTTCTAAGGGAAAAGAAATCTGTATTGGCTCCATAGCTAATGACTACTGGCAAAAGATAGAGTTTAAAGGCATTCCTCCTCATTATTCTTCTTACAAAATTTTATTGTCACTACTTCTAAAGATGCTTCAAAGCACATCTAGAGTGCAAAATCAACTAGCAATAGTGGCAATGAAGATCATTCATCAGATGAAATTTTTTTGTAATTTCTGATTTGTACATTTGGAGCTGCAAAATCAACTAGCAATAGTGTCTTTAAATGCAGTGGTGGCAGTGCCAACAGCTTCTAATCTGATTTGTACACAGAAACTTGAATTAAATTTAGATCCTACCTTGGAATTAGTACTTTCCTAATTGCTAGAACAAATGATTTAGAATGACATCATAAGATTAGTGATCCGAACTCATCTAGGATTTTCGCTCCTAATGATCATCCAATTGGTGGGGATATTGGTGATTTAAAACTATTTATTTGTTGGCTTTGGTTTTAGAATTTATAGTACAAACAAGCTAGTAGAAAAAATTTCAATTGTACATGCTAGAAGAAACAGAAAAAGCAAAAAAAATATGCCACCGTTCTCTAAAATGCACCATACTTCCAAGTTATACAATTTAATGAGAATCCATGGGATTCCACTCCACTAGTTATGGTTTATTTGCTACCTTTAGGCCTTGTAGGTGTGTTTTTAATTTTAATTCTCTTTTCATCTACCAATTTTATATAATTATTTCTTCAAGTACAGTTTCATTGAATGATAATAAAATTTGTTTGGCTTAAAAAAGCCCATCTTTCCAGCTACCTCATAGCAAGAAGAAATTAAGTAAATCAAAAGCATTCAAATGAACAAGGAAATAGGAGACCAACAAGAAATTCATTGTCAAAGGTCAATGATCCAGCTAACATTAAATCAATTCTCCTTCTACAGCATATTGAATCTTACAAAACCATCAAGAATGCTAAAAAGCGGAAATTTTCTATCATATGCATTTGTTTGAGCATGAGAAAGTATGGTAAATAAATCTGGAAACAATCTACATGGATGCATGGCACATTATAGTAAATATATACGTTTTAAACATTTAAGTCTTATAGAAGGACTTTCCCCTTCAGAGTACCTAAAAGTTGGTTGGATAAAACAA